AATCATATGGATGTGTGACTATGGGTTTGTGTTTCTGGGTGTATATTTGTGGTTTTATGTTGTGTTTGTGTTAGGATTTTAGAGAAACAGATGTGTTAGGTTTAGGGGGGTAAAGACGCAGCAACGAGAAAGACAGAGAGAAGGATGTACTTGTGTAAGGAAGAGAAAAAAGAAAGAAAGAAGGTGGGTTTTTGAGTTTATATTTAATGTATACATACAAAGGATAATTGTGTTTGGATGTATAAATAGCTATAAAAATACTAAAAATGCCCCTTAATACCCTCATGTGCCAAGCACATGATATTTTATGTCTATTATTTGGACGACAATTAGGGGTAAGAACCAAAGTGAGTCAATATGTTAACATGGAGAACAAAATTGATGAAATTAAAACTTTAAGGATGAAAGTATAATAAGTGGTAAACCTTAGGGATCATTAGTGCAATTTATCCAAGATAAATTATAACTATACCCCTATAGAATGTTCTAAATATAGATAGATCTCTCTAATTTTTTGAAATATACCGACAACCCCAGTCAATTTTTGTCCTGAGACAACGGAAGTTGCAATTTTCCAGTTTCACCATCCTAATTTGCAATATTAATTGGTCAAATTACTAACAATATTGACGCATCTCCTTTGTTTATATAATATAATTAAGATGTTCAAGACATTTGAGAGCAAACTACTAATAAATAAATAAAGGCAGTAAGAAGATGAACAAATTCTTACATCTATGAAGGAAGGTTCAAGTTCAACTGATGATTCTGACTCTGATCCTCCGTTGGAGGTGAACTCAAAGCCTTCCAACTACACACCACCCTTGATGAAACTGAATGAAAATCGAATTGTTGACTTAGATTTAGATCCCTTTGAAATCATAAAGACTTCGATTTATGATGTAGTTACGCCTCAAACAATCAGACATATTACCATAGAATCTCGTAAAATAATTAATTCAGTACCAAGGGAATTTCTTCCTGTCCTTGAAGACCTTTTATAATACACTATCAAAGCTCGAAGAAAACGAAGGCCAATAAGGTATTCTAGAGACTATATGCCGTGTAGAAAATCAAACAAACATAGGCGGCTCCCTAGTATGCAGGGGCCTAGAAAGACATTCGTTCCAAGCCCCAAGACACCCAAGCAAAGGTTGTCTCTAAATTGAACTTGTAAAATAATACTTTGTTAATACCAAATTTTTATTTGTACTTTGTTTATAGTGTTAGATTAGTTAACATTTGCTAATGCATTTCACTGTAAAATTTGTACTAGAAGAAAAAAATTTCATAAAATCATCACTTCTTTTAAAAAAATGATGACAAAAGTGGAATCCGAAACAAGTGTACAAACTATTGAGAGGAGTAAAGTGGTATTTTTAGAAACTAGAGGCGTAGGTGTTTCTGTATTTAAATCTAACTATAAGGGGCACCATTGTAGTTTGGGCCAGGAAAAATGACCCAAAAACAATAAGGTCGGGTCGGTTTTTTGGGCTTCAGATATTTTGTTGAGCTATGAAGGGAAAACTATCCTCCACCACACACCACAAAAATAGATTGTATATAAATGATTGCATGTTGTGTCGGTTTGTAAGTGATGTAAGTCGTGTCAAAATTAGTTCAATTTGGTAATACATAAAATTATTATGCAAGATTAATTCATTTGATAGTATGATGTAAAATAATTAATAATGATTAGGTAGATAAATCTGGGTGACTTAATCATTGAGGGCAGCAACGATAGTCAAAAAACTTTATTAATGAGAGAATATAAAGTAATAGAGGAGAGAAAGAGAGCAAAAATATGTTTAAGGTGAAGTATGTGATATCCACTCCAATGCGTAGGGGGTTTACAATTTATAGGCACAGAACCCTAACTTTGGTAGTGACATGAAGGTCAAGTTACTAATTTATCGGAAGAATACTTACAATTGGGGATGAACACTATTTTAAAGTAATGACTATCTAGATGATTGTTCTCCCACATACGTTAACTCTTTCTAGAATCTTGAACTTTAGATTGTATTGAAGTCATGAGTTACGTGTAACCTGTCTTTTAATGATTTTGGTTTAACCCATGAGCTCGGCCCAAATCTGATCTAAATCTAGCCTCGTCATAACTTATGTCCAATCTATTTATGAAACATTTGAGACATGCTAACCGATTATAACTCAAACTTATTAAAACTAAACACATTCTTGGTGATTTTGTATCTGACACAGCTTTTTTTTTTTTTTGTGAATTGTTATAAAAATTATCTCATCATGTCTACTACTAGTCATAACCCGTGCCTGAAGGTACGATAAAATATAAAATTCAAGCGTCCAAAAAATCGATCCCACTATATTAAATTTTTTTAAAATATATTAATTACAAATTAATCAAATATTAAATGATTAAATATATGATAGAAATGTGTGATACGATATTTTTAGGGAGAAAATATATAACTGATTAAACATGTGATAGAAATGAGTAATGTGATTTGACGTTTGAGTCTGAGTCTGACAAAGATATGATGAGTGAGATAAGTGATTGGTGATGATTTTGAGGGAGAAAATATGACTGGAACAAAATTCAAACACACTACTGTTTATTATATAGATATCAAGATTGTTTCAACCCATCTACAACCCACCTGTCAAAACAAGACCTATGGGTCAATTCAATTAAGAACTAAACCCAATAAGACTAAATTTGTTAATCGATTATAATTCAAACCTATTAAAATTAAAACACATTTACAATCATTTTGTATCTGACACTTCTTTTTTTGTTGAATTGTTATACAAGTTGACGTGCCATGTATACTTACATCAAGATTGCTACAACCCATCTATCAAAACGAGACCAATGGATCGATTCAATTATGAACTAAACCCATTAAGACTAGATTTATATTAGTAACTTTATATTGATTACATACCAAGTTATTGATGTTTATTAAGAATTACTAACCCTAGTCATATGTGCTTAAGTCATGCCCTTCTTCTTCCTTTTTTAGTCACGGCTTGAAACTTTTACAAGAGAAGGGGCTGGTGAAATTCAAACTCAAACTCGTGACTTAACAATCCAACGGCAAGCTGCTTAAAACTTTTACAGGGGAAGAGCTGGTTAAATTCAAACTCATGACTTAACAATTCAACGGCAGGCTGCTGAGTTATTAGGCCATGACTAATCCTCTAAATCTTTATTCTTGTCCACACTTGCAAAGATTCTTATATAAAATTGCTTATTTTGGGTAAGACATGTGGGATCAAAAGTGTTTAGGATATAAAATTGTATAGAAATTTTTGTAGATATTAATTGACACACTATAAGAAGATGAGAATGGTGAATAGGTAGATGCTGAAAGCGAAAGAGCATAAAGGCCACATGCACTGGGGAAACACAGCCATATATACAGAAAAGTATGGTTCATAAATATTATCCTTCATCTTTAATATCTGGTGGTTGGTAGTGGACACCAAAACATTACTTAGCTGAGTCTCTAATATCTACAAAAGCACCAAAATCAATCACATGGGTTGACTCAGTGAAAGGGCAAACATAAACCTATAGATCTCGAGTTTGAGTCTTTTCTTATTTTATAAAATATGGGTTTTTTACCGATGTTTGTGATTGACAGATGATTAGCACATTCGAGACTTCGAATTACAACCATAAGTCCAAAAAATACATGAATAGAATAATTCCCCGTCACCAAAAAAAAAAAAACAAGCACCATTTAGGCAAAGAAAGACACATAATGAGACAAAAACGTGTGGGCCTAGTCATAAAGCACATGCTGTAGGGAGAGAGTCGGGAGACTATAGCCATGTGCACTCATAAACTTGTATGGACCTCATTACCAAAAGAGATTGATCAGATTAGACTAGACCTGAAAGAGAAAATAGACAGATTGGAAGACTTCTAAATCTATTTATCAATATCTCAATGATTCATTGTTGTCAACAATCCACTAAGGCCATTGAAGAGTTCAATCTGCATACAGTTGTGAAGGAATATATGCGACCAGAAACCAATAGGCTCATATTAAATAAGCTTGGAAGTTGAGTAATCAGAATTCTAGGCTAAAAACTAACCAAAACAAAACACCAAAAGGAATTTTCGAATCTACACCTGAAATCAGTGAAAATTACCAAAAGTTTTATGCATTTTACCATATTTAAGTTCAAATTAAAATGTGAAGAATTAACTAAATGAGCTGTCCCTATCCTTTACCCTTGTTTATCAGAGGAAATGAGAAATGTTTTTGAAGTGTCAATTTGTGCCAAGGTGATCATGCTTCTGGTAATACTATGATATGCAAAGGTTTGGTGCCTCAACTAATCCATGCATAATGAAATGCAGTTGGATCACCAAATTTGCATGTCCAGTTCTAAGGTTAATGTGGAATTCTTCAGATGCTATCATAAGTTTAAGCAGGGAAAATATGACGACATCTCCAAAAGATTTTCCCAGCTTCAGATGGTTAAAATGTTAAATGGTTTCAGACTTCTAGTTCTCAATTACAGAATTATTCATGGAAGATACGTTTTTGTTCTACCAACCAAGCGACATGATGGTAGATTGGTGATTCATCTGATGTATAACTCCAGGAAAGAATAATAATCACTTATCAGGCCTCTAAACAGGCTGCAAATACTAGCTACAATTGATGATTTCTGATCAAAATGATACAGAGAAAACGAAAAACAGGAATATGATAATGCAGTTGTAAACATAAGGCTAAACAGCAGGTCCCTGCAAATTAGAAGCAGGAAAAAATACTCAGCACTAATAGATTCAGGTTAATCCTAAGTGATGATAAGAACTTTATAATGAGGGATAAACAATCAAATTTTACTTTCTAAACTTGGAACAGTATGAGCCTGTAGAAAGATCATGTTCAAGTAAAGGTCCTAACTTTCTAAATGTCAACCAAAGATTTTTAATTCCTTATCCCACAAAATGAATGTGATAAGGGCAAGAACTGTTTGAAAATTGTTATTTTATTTGCAGTTTCAAATAATGCAGAAGATACAAGTGGAACAACTTTCAACATGATCTAAAACTTGTGATTATGATCTATGTAAAACTTGTGATAATTTTTCTTACATTTTCTTACATGCGTATACTTATGGAATGAACTGAGTTGGTTCATAACCACATACAGTAAACCCCAACACATTGAAGAAGAAGAAGATAAATACAATGAGATGATGCATAATCTTGTCACCCTTAATTCTATACTTACAACGTCAATTCAGAAGAATTGCAGAAGACACAACAACCAGACATTATATGCCCAATGATGCTTCCTTCCTCTATCTTTATCCTTCTACTCTGCTTATTCCAAAGGTGAACCGTATAGCTTTGGCCGCGAATTTGCCTGAGCTTAGCAAGCAACCATTTCGAATGACCCTCGTTCCTCGGCCCATTGAACAGACTACCAATTTTTTTCCAGTCAGCTGGATAAAACGCCACAGGCGGCAATACAGTGATATTAAATCCAGGTCTTCCATTCACCCTTGAAACAACCCTTGACACCAAATAAGGGCCGTTGTGACCCCATTTATTCCCATCAAAAGTGAGTGCAAACTCTTCAATGAACTTGTAAAGAAGTGGATGCCCTTTATCAAATACCATTACAGCATTATTCAATCGACTCCAATTTCCAGTTTCAAGATCAATAGTCTGTGCTCCTATTGAATTTCTCAGATTCCTAAAACTCTTCAAAACTATAACATCTGTGTCTATGTAAATTCCACCAAACTTGTATAATAAACCAAGCCTAAGCAAATTTGAGAGGTTCTGACCCAAAGAAACCTCCCCAGTTTCGATTTCTCCTTTCATTAATCGATCAAACCAAGCTTGTGCAACAGTGTTCTTCAACAAATAATCAAAATCAGGTGAAATTGCCATTACCCGAAATCCCTTGTTCAAAAATGGCCTTAAAATTTGCATTCCTCTTTTTGAATCCATTGAATTCGATGCTACAACCAAACAGCCATTTGGGTGTGCTTTAAACACACTCTCTATTGCAAACAATTCTCTATCACCAAATGAATCCAATGAAGAAATCCAAGTCATGAAAAACTGAATCTTACATTGATAATTCGACGAATTCCCACCGAAAAACTCTTTCACTTTGGTTGAAAACCGCTTTATCCGAGCCTCCGACCGCAGAATCTTCAACACAGACTTGTGTTTTCGCATTCTTCTCTGTGCATACACCAAAGAATTGTTTTCGAAAACAACCAAATGACGATCTTTATGCAAAAGGGTGAAATGGGTCTTGGAAATTGCAGGTGGGTTTTCTTCTTTCACTGCGTACAGTACAGAAGAAATGACCTTCGTTGAAGAAGACACAGAAGCCAACTTTCTTGATTCTCTAGGGACAGTTTCCGGCGAGAAATTGCCGGGGTCCGGCGGGGTTTTGGCCGGAAAAGGGATGTAGATACAGAACATAGTGGCACCATTATAGGCTAAGAGGAAAACCAAAAAGAGAGACAGAAGAGCGAAGAATGATCTCTTGCTTCTCTGCAAGTACTGAAGAGAGAGAAAATACTGAAGCAGAGACGAGTATGAGTTTGCTTTAGGGTAATTGTTGTAGCCGTCCATGGATGTCAGTTACTGGTAGTAAATTGATTTGATGGAGGTTTCATTGTTGAGGTCTGTTGTTGCTCTCTCTGCTAGGAAGGATGAGAGAGAGTTGCAGAGGAGGTCGAGGTCGAAGAGCATTCTTCCAATGGCGGAGGCGGCAAAGGAAACAGGAAAATTGAAAGTGGTTTTTTGTGTTTTGTATTTCAAACTTTGTGGAAGCGAAAGTATATAAAAGGAAACTGCGTTATGAGAGAGCTTTGAACTTTGTCAATAGAAAGGAAAGTGTGTGGAGAGAGAGAGAGAGAGAGAGAGACAGACAGAAATTGATTGAAGAAGCCTCGGCTTGGCTTTTCAGTGCAATTGTGACACATCTCACTTTTTTGGTATTATGATTAGAAAGATGTTATTAAAAATTTGATATAATTTATTAATATAATAACGTGATTTCATTGAAATTATTAAATAAATATTAAATTTTAATATTTGATGAACCTTACTGTTAATCCAAATGTCACAGTAAATTAAGTTTCAATAACATTGATCTTATGGTTATAGATATGTGAGTCAATTATCTCGATTAATTTTTGTCTATATTAATTTTTTTTAATTTAATTAAAAATAAGTCATTCATACAAAGATTAGAGAATTCATTAGAGTTCTAAAGAAGCTATCAAATTTTGAATTTAAAATATCTGAATTTACAACTCTTATCTATCTTCACTAGACTAAGTTAATCCATTTCACATTTATGACTCGTCACATTTTAATAATCTATATAATAAAATATAATACAACTTAAATTTTAAAAGATAAATAAAATAATTTTTGTTAATCGTAGTTGATATCGTTTTAAATTTTACTTTACAGTTAATCTAACGGCTAATATTAATACCCCAAATTTAATAGGAAAAATAAGTTTCTAAGGGTGTGTTTAGAGTGATTTTTTTAAAGTACTTTTAAGAATTATTTTTCATTAGTACTTTAAAAAAAAAAAGCGTTTGGAATCACCACACAACTACCTCTTCCAACACCACTCTCACTGTTCCACCATCATCACAACTACCATTACCACCACCACCACTGTCGTCGCCGCCGTCGCCACCATCACTATCGCCACCCTACCAAACCCACCACTGCTGTTGTCACCACCACCCACCACTGCCACCACCACCCCACTATCATCACTACTACTATCACCACCGTCCCACCACTTCCACTGCCCTCACCATCATCACCACTGTCGCACCCTACCATCATTAACACTGTTATCGCACCTTACTATCACCGCTATTGTCTCACCATCACCCCTACCACCCCCATCGCCCCACCACCATTCTCATGACCATCACAAACTACCCCCACCAACACCAACACCAACCCACCACCGCCACCACCCCCATCATTGTCACTGCCCCACCTTCACCGCCACCACCACCACCATCATCTTATTCTTATATTTATTACCATTACTATCATCATTCCACTACCAACGTCGCCCACTGCCAACACCCACCACCACCCATGGTCGTTTACCATGGCCACTAGCCACTATCACCTACCCTACCATATTTACCACTGTTGTCATTCGTCACCACCTATCTCAAAGTCTTTTACAAGCACCCATCGTTGTCCACTACCACCACCATCACCGCCAATCACAACTGTCATCGTCCCATCACCACCACTACCAACTACAATCACCGTCGTTCTGCACCATCCATGCCCATCACCACCACCGTTGGCACCCACGACTGTCACTACCATCATCGTCACTCAAAACCCACCACCATGATCGTCGCCTTACCCGCCACAACCATCACCATCTCCCACTATCACCACTGTCGCCCACCACCACTACCACTGATCACCCCCACTATAATCGGTACTTAAACTTTTTTTCTCCTCTATGTTTGTAATTTGATTTTGGGTATGAATACAAATATGTTGACTATTTTTTTTATTAATTCGTGCCTGAAGGCAGGGGGAATAACTAGTAAATTTATACATGAAAAAAAATGAATTTACAGCTCTTCTCTCACTTCACTAAACTAATCTTAACATCGTCACTAAATCATATAGGATTCATTTGTCTATATTAATTTATGAGTAATGATATTAAGACATAAAAAAATTAATTTAATTTATTGATCTAATAATGTAACAAGTGATGGGGCCAATGAAAAAGTCTAAGAGTTACGGTTGCAACAATACTATTAAACCACGTCAATAATACATCATTAGGTTAATAAATTAGATTATTTTTTTAGATCTCAATAAAATTATTCTTAATTTACAGAGAATTGCACTTTGCACCTTGAAATATTTCAAATTTTTAATTTTGTAATTTCAAAGATTAAATTTCTTACATTGCACCCTCAATATATTATTATGTTAGTTTTTTCATCAATGTCAATAGATTAACTTTTGATAAAAAAAATTAACAAAAACTAACAGAATGGTTGCATTACAATTTTTTGATATATTAAGGATGTAATAGGAGAAATTTTAATCTTTGAGTGTAGAAAATGATAAACTTAAAATCTTCTGGAGTGCAAAATATAAAAAAATCCTTAATTTATTATCAAATAATAAGATCACACGAAAATAATAATATAATATCACCCATACCTTGAATATTTTCTCCCACGTGAAAATGTTATAATAAGTGTACATTACCCTCGAGATATAATAGCATCATTAATGGTCAATCAATCAATAAGGTATTAATTACAAAGTGGACTTTAATTAATAGATGCATGAATGACCATATCAATGACAATGAGCATCTTGGGTTTACTTTTTATTATAATTCGAGATGTTAAGCTTGAATTTTTCTGTTAGCGTGTTTGGAGGCAAACTCTAAATTTAAACATTTTAAATTTGAATTTTAACAATTTCTTAGAGTTATGTCATGATGAATATCTTAATCCCAATATAGATGACCTGTTTTAATCAAAATAAAAAAAAATTAATTAAAATATGTGTGAGCTGATCTGAATATCTGACTTAGATTTATACACGAGTTTATCAATCTATATAATATAACTATTACACTGTTGAACAATTGGCCGGAAGTAGTTTTTTGGCCAAAGAGATAAGCTTGACACAAAAGGCAAGGTTACGTGCGAAGTTATTGAAGGAAGGATCTCGGCATGAATTATTAGGCAATTTGTCGGACCGCTTCTTTTGCATGCGCAGTTCAAATCCAATTTGCCAGATTGGATTTAACCTTGACGTTTCCTCTCCATTATTCCTATATAAAAGAGTAATCAGGCTCGGTTGAAGGCAGTGTTTTAAAACCCGGTCCGGCCCAGCGGGTTGATTTGGTGACCCGGTCCCCTAATCGGGCTGATTTTGTAATTGGATCATTCGAGTAAAGAACCCGGAATAAAACTGGTGAACCAGTCAAAAAACCGATAACCCGTGAAAATCGGATGGGTTTACAAAACCGGCCGGTTTTGTTCCTTTGGTATAAATATGTCTTTTTTTTACATTTTTGTGTCTTTTTCTTTTCCATTTTTATGTCTTTTTCTTTTTCTTTTCCATTTTTTGTGTCTTTTTCTTTTCCATTTTTGTCTTTTTCTTTTCCATTTTTGTGTCTTTTATAAATATGTCTTTTGTCTTTTTTACATTTTTACATTTTTTTTACGCTTATGACTATTTGCATTGGTTTGTTAATTGAATACAATTAAGTGATTCAGGCTTGATAACTTTGTTTGATTTAATATATATTAAACATGTTATTTTTATAACTATTTTAATTTTTTAGTCTATTTATCATCATTAATAATTATTTTTTATTTTTTTATTATATCACCGGTTCAACCAGTGACCGAGTGGTTGAACCGGAAACCTATTGACCCGGTCCCTTCTCCGGGTTGATGTCCAGGCCGGATTTTAAAACTATGGTTGAAGGCATCGAAAATCATAAGCCTTTCTGAACGTAGAGTTGTGAGATATCTAGGAGTGAGTGATATGCAAGTGATATCAGTGAAATCAAAGTACATTTTTTCTAATATAAGTGAATACTTTCGAGGTAAAATATAATTATTCTTGTACTGTTATTTTACTTTATAGTGAAAATATTTGGTCATTATTTATCGTGAACGTAGATAATAGCCGAACCAAGAAAATCTCGTTATTTATCGTGACTTTATTGTCTACATTGGTACAAAAATTATGGGTCCGTCACAACTGATGAGTTCGAAATTAACTCGGTTATGCCCAATAAAAATAAACCAAGAAAGCCCAAATGATCAGTTTCTAGCCCAACTCACCAAGTCCCAGGAGGAAATCAAGAAGCCAACGCCCAAGAGGAGGGGACCAAGGGGGCGCCGGCCAAAGGGTTACCCAAGGCCTTGGCACCGCCCAAGGGCAGGCCTCCTCCTGTTCTTGCTTCGCGCTCTTCTCTTTACCACTTCAACCCAAGTCTAGCCCACTCCAACTCAAGTTCGGCTCACTCCAACTCAAGTTCAACTCAACTCAAGATCTTCCTTCGACGAAATAGGAGCACGAGGGAGAGAATATCGGGATACGCATGAAAATCTAATCTTACCTTAATTGTACTTACCAAAATAATAAAAGTTTTCTCCCTCACGTGACCGTCTTACCAAAACCTATATAATGTAAGCCCTTCTACATAAAAAGCACAACCTTGAAACCCCTACACACCTCTCAACACATATTGTTCTTCTCTCTTAAAGCACCGTAATTCTCCTGGAGTATACTTTCCCGGTGGCTTTTATTCATCAATAAAGATCTCCGGTCACCGTTGTCATTCTCGAGAGTGAAGTAGGTCATCCAGACCGAACCACTATATATCTGTGTGTCTACCCTTCTTTACTGTTTTATCATTGATTGCCTATTTATTGCTCATTAATTACACCCTTACATATACTCGACTTTTGATCTTGCACAATACCAATTTGTGCATCATCAGTTTAGCGCTGTCTGTGGAAAATGATTAAGTTTTCTACTCTCTTTCAATCTATGACAATCACTACCAGATCAATGAGTCAACAGTTGGGAGACAACAACCTGGTTCACCAGGAGGAGGCTCCACCTCCCCTCGCACATTCGGAACCATCTGCTACTACAGTTGGACAACAACAATAGCTTTTATAGACTATGCAACTGCTAATAAAACAGAATCAATAGATTATTTAGTTAGTGCTCACCCAAGGGGGCATCGCCCCTCACCCTGTAGGAGGAGCCCCACTCCCTCCAACAGGAGAGGAGCAACAATCCCTCCCTTCTGGGCATTAGGCAGTCCCTTACC